GCGCGCGCCGGGCCGGGCCTCCGGGCCTGTGCCGCCGCCGCGCCGACCATGTCGGCGGCCAAGGAGAACCCGTGCAGGAAATTCCAGGCCAACATCTTCAACAAGAGCAAGTGTCAGAACTGCTTTAAGCCCCGCGAGTCGCATCTCCTCAACGACGAGGACTTGACGCAGGTGAGCGGGCGGGGGTCCCGGGGCCGACCGGGAGGTGAGACCCGGGTCCCGCGCGGGGCGGCCCCCGACCCCCGGCGGCCCCCTCGGGCTGGAAGTTTGCCGGCGCGCGGTCGCCCCGCTAGGTGTTGCAAGCCGTCGTCCGAGGCGGGCGAGAGTGCCTGGCCCGGGGGGCTGGCCGCCTCCCCCCAGTCCTGACGCCCGTGAGACCACCATCCTGCTGTGGAAAGGAGAGCGGACGTTATCCAGTTCCCGAGGCGGGCGGGGGTGGGGGTGCCTCTGAAGGCTCCCGGGGAAGATAAAAACGGAGCAGAAAAAATGTACGTGGGTCCTGGGGAGGGTGGTGAGGATGGAGATGGGGGAGGGAGGGAGCGAGAAGTGTATTGATAGAGCCGGGACAAAGGGAAAATCCTCAAGTATGCCGAAAAATAACATCCTTTCCCGTTCCCATAGCCCTGCCGTGTGATTCATGCTTTTTGGGTGACTCAAAAATGCCTGGTTTTTCTTAGGAGGAACAAAGCACTTGGGGATTGCTTGCTGCTTCGTAGTACCCCCCATAGAGTCCGTTTTAGGACCCGACTTAGACTTGTCCACCCAGAGTGGCCAAGGGTGCAGGACTGTCCGGGTGGACCGTGGGCTTCCCTCTCATCAGACCCAGTTTGCCCGTTTTCTAAATCATTGTCACTGTCAATGATGGGAGAGGTGAATGGTCCTGAAGTCGGGGGAGGAGGGTCTTGCTCTTGAACTTAAACTGGAGGGCTTTTTGTTGATGGGAGAGCTGGGGGGTCCTCTCCCCACCCTTTCTCCCAGCTCTCTGGTCGCTTGGCAAGGAATAAGGAGACCTGTGGGCCTTCAGGAAAGTCCGTTCACTTCTCCTGGCCTTATCTGTCATATGAGGGCTTTGGACAGTTTAGTAGCTCCCAAACCTGCATCAGAGTCGCAGTCTAAAAATACAGAGTCCTAGGGCCCTATTACTGAAGTGATACAGGAGATGAGGAATTTGTTTTGTAACAGTTCCGTAAGAAGTTGGACTGCAATCTGCACTGGCCTTTGGGAGCCCCTGTACTGGTTGCTGTCTGAGCCCCCGGATCCCAGGGATTCTCTGGAACACTTGGAGGTCCTTGGGCCATGCAGATTCCTTGGATTTCCTGACCAAGCCCTGAATACAGCCCCTTGGGATGTGTCTGTGCCCCTTCTTGCCTCTCCCCCAGTTTTAGTCTTCTTCAGAGCTTTCTCTCATCCCCCCCCCCCCCAATGAGGCCAGGGGAGCTCCCTTCACATTCCAGTCCAGTGTGACCTAGTTGTAGCCACTCCTTTTGCAGAAGAACCCTTTAGATGGAAAACATTGCTTTGAAGTGTACGGCCTGGCTGTTTTTAATGCTACTTAAGTACTCACAGGGTTTGAATTGTTTACATGGCTGACCAGAGTAGGGTGGCAGGGCAGGGGTTATGGCCTGAGACATGGTGTCTTCCTCTGTGATCAGAATCCCAACAGCCAGGAAAAGACTCCTTTCATCTAAAACCAGAAGCTTAACCGGAGCATCAAGGCTGCAGTCATAGATTTTTGGGATGAAGGGCCAATCAGTTTGGGAGAGTAGAACTCACTTTCCTGGTAAAGTGTTCTGGGTTGGGCTTTTCAGGGACACTTTCTCTTCTCAACTGGATGCCTTTTTTGGGGGAAGCAGTTTATGTGGTGATGAGGGCCTTGGACGAGGAGGCAGGAGACCTTTCTTCTGTCTTCGCTGTCACTTTCAGCTGTGTGACCTTGAGTAAGTCCCTTTGCCTTTGTAGAGTTTCTTTTTCTTTTCTGTAAATTGGGAGTAGGAATCCCTGGCTTACCTCTCTCACCCTGTGAAAAGCAAGGAATAGTATCTTATTAAACTCTTTTCTCTTACAAGTTAACAGACAAACAAAAATCACCCACAGAATAGTAAACTTGGATTTAGGAAGTTTATGGGCTTGGTAAGGGTTGTTCTGAGAGAGTTTCCTGGTTATTCCAGGCAACTGCCAGAATTCGTACATGGGATATTTACACCTCATCAGGACTGTGTTCTGATTCTTAGGCTTAGATAAACTGGAATGGGATCTGCATATTTGAGTCCAATCTGTTAAATTTTCTTTAAAAAATCTGTTGATTATTAATTGGATCAAGAGAGAATGTTGCAGATTTAAAGTACGTTATTCTTCAACTTTATTCACAGTTAATTGTGGATTTTAAATAGGCCTGAGTCTTCCAGGACACAACTGGGATGGTAGTTTCTGAAATAATGAGTGGGGTTATTTGTGCCGGGAGAGATTAGGCCAGCATTCTACCTCCTGGGATCTTTCAGGAAGAAACTGCTCTTGAAAAGAGAAGGAGGGAGACTCAGGGCTGTTGCCAACAGCTTTAGCTGCTGCTCTCAGCTTCCGGCCTCCCCCAGCTTTACTCTCATCCTCTTGGCTCCATTAGAAAACCTCAGCCAATTGGTTCCCATCACTCTCCCCCAGGGCCCTGCTTCCTGCTGCCCCTCCCTGCCCTGAGCTTATTTTAGACCTTCAAGGCTGGAAGATAGATCAGTGATCATTGAGGCCACCCCCTCTTTAAGGCGTTTATCCTTCAGTCCTGTGCATTTCTTTACGTGCATGTGGACTTGAATACACAGTTAAAACCTTTACTTAACCCAGACTATATATGCATTTGCTCTGCAGCGTATTTTTTCCTGCTTAATGACATGTCTTACAGCTCTTTTCATGGTGCGACATATAACTGTTCCAAAATTGTTTTGCAAATTGTGCCATCAGGGATGTACCTTATTGTCACCATTCCCTTACTGATGGACAGCAAGGTTACTTCTGGGTTTTGCTGTTACACACAGTGACTGCTTCAGCGAACAGTTTTCTAAATGCTTTTGGGTGAGTGTGTGCGTGCACGAATGCAAGTATTTCTCTGGGGGCAGATAGCTAAAAATAGAATGGCTGGGTTGACATCAAGCACATTGAATTTTTTTTTACAGATATCACTAAATTGCCTTCCAAAAAAGGCTGTGTCGTACCTTTGCCAGGATTGGATATTGTCAGATGATTTAATTCTTTAATAATTTCCCTAGTTACCAGTGAGGTCAAGCCTCTTTTTACAATATTTATGGCATATGTTTTGTTTCTTGTGTAGACTGCCCATTCATACTGTTTGCCTGTTTTTCTGTTGGGTTAATTTCTTGCTCCCCACCCGCCACCCCAGCTGGTTGTAGGAGCTTTCTGTCCACACTCAAGGTCAGGGGTCCACCGACTTTCTCTCTAAAAGGCCAGATAGTAAATATTTTAACCATGTGGGCCATATGATCTTTGTGGCAACTACACAGTTTTGCCATTGTAGTGTAAAAGCCATCATGCAAAGCCACTTAAGACAATACGTAAACTTATGAGTATAGCTGTTTCTGATAAAACTGTATTTGCAGAGTTACAGAGACAGGCAGCTAGTAGGGTTCAGCCTGTAAGCTCTAGTTTGCTGACCCCTGCTCTAGATCTTAATCTGAACCTGTCCTATATTGCACATATTTTCTCCCACGGTGTCCGTTCTAATGTTATGTATGCTCATTTCTCTTTTTCATATGGTAGTTTTAAATAAGAATGCAGTTAAATTTCCATGTTTCTTTTTTAGTTTGTATTTTTAATCTAGTGATTATGAACGTCTTTTTTCAAGATTATAAACTATTTTTTCATGTTTGTAGTTCCCTTATAGTTATTTTTATGCTTAACTTTCTAATGCATCCGAGTTTTGTCTCAGGAAAATAATTTCGGCATAAGAGTAGAAGCACTAAAAGATTGTCTTGAATAGTCCAGGTAAATTATGGTAGAGGTCTTCTCCAGGTCAGTGTTGGCCAGGACGGAAGGAGTCATCAGGCACTAGGGACAGGATATTGGTGGTTGATTGGAGGTGGGGATTGAGGAGACCTGGGTACCTTCACAAAGACTGAGAATAACAGAGAGTAGGTTTGTGGGGTAGGGAGGAGGTGGAGGTCTAGTGTGGTCCTTAGGTGGAATCACCGGTTCAGGCATGCAGGTGGTTAGAGCTAGATGAGGGGTGTGGGACCGGTAGGAATTCTGAAGTCGTGGGAGTGGGTGTAGTCAGTCACTCAGGAGGCCACATAGAGTGAAACGAGGGGGAGCCGGTGGGGAAGGGATGTGAATCAAGGGTTGGCGGCCAGTGGGAGCAGAAGGTCTGGAGCCCAGGGTTCTTGGATCCCAGCCTTAGTGTAGGTTTCTGGGGTTCGTGGTGGGTATTGACCTGGTATGATGTCTCATCCTCCTGCCAATTTGTACGACTTTAGGCATGCCTTTTGTGGAAGGAGTCACTGCATCTGAACTTAAGTTCTAGTTCCTTCTACTGCTGTTTTGTTGTGGGATCTTGGCTGGGTTGTTTTCTCTCCTCAGGCTTCGATGTTCCCATCTGGACTATGAGGAGTTTGGTCTTGATCTCTGCCGGGGCTCCTCCAGTCCTCCTTCATCTTTTCTGAGATCTCTCGGTCGAATTGTGCCCCTCGCTATGCGGCACTCCACTACCAGGGCAGCTTGGGGTCTTGGGGTGAGAGTCCCCCACACAGGGGTGGGTGGGTCAGGACCTGGTCTCTGTGAATCATTTCATTGACTTTCCCTTTACCTCTGTGACATTCTTAGAAGTTCTAGGGCATGGAACTTCTTTATTTCACTTAACATTTATCTCATAAGCAATGGGGAGATTTCATGACCACTCTTTTGAGAAGATTTATGATTTATGCACATATTGGTAAACGGTTTGGCAGGGGCTATGTCATAAATCCCAGACCTTACAAAATGGCCAACAAGCACAGGAAAAGACGGTCAGTATCATTAGTCATTAGGGAAATGCAGATTAAAACTACAGTGAGTTATTACTTCACACCCACTAGGAGGGCTATATTAAAAAAGGGAAGGTCGTTAAGTGTTGGTGTGGATGTGGAGAAATTAGAACCCTCATGCATTGCTCATGGGAATGGAAAATGGTGCAA